GGGGTCCCGAGCCCCATCTCATTATCTCCCCATCTCATTATCTCCCCATCTCATTATCTCCCCATCTCATATCTCAGCCGGGGCCGTTCCAGAGAGAAGCTGGAGCGACCTCGGTGCCTGTTGGCTGGAATCGGCCCGTGGTTTCGAGAGGTACCGCAGGAAACGGTACCGTTGCAGAAGGGCTGTGCCCCGCAACAGTCAGGCTGATAACCCCTGCACCGAGTAATTTGTCGAATCAGCAAATCACTGAGGGCACGCGGCAGATCCCGTGAACCGGTGCTGCTGGTACTTGGTCTCTCGCACGGAATGCAGACGACTGCGGGCGAAAGACAACAGGGTCACACTTTCTGTAACGTTTGTGCAACAGTGTAACGTGTGAGGCGGTTTATTAACACCGGTTATAACTCTGAATTAATGAACCAGTCCCTGGGTGCTGCTGAGGAAAACCCAGCACCCTGTCGTGTAGCCCAGGTGACCAACTGAAGGTAAATACACCTGTGCTCAGCGCGTGGCTCCTGCGCAGCCGGGCAGGGCCCTGCCTTGAGGCACGTCCACCCTTCACGTCCACCCTTCACGTCCACCCTTCACGGGGCTCCCCTCAGGTGTGTCCGTGACCTGACGTGCTGCCTCCCAGGAACACGGTTACCAAACACAAGAACCTTGAGCTGAGGTCATTTAATTAGTGGCAAGTCTGAGATGAACTTTCCTTTCAGTGCTAGGATTTGCCAACTCTAAGCGAGTTCAAAGCCTGTGTAGGAAGGAGCCAGTCCTGCAGGGTATTCCTTTCCCTTTGGAATGTCAGAAGTAACACCAACCCCCCCACCCGCATCAATCTTTAGTTTTGCTAACAATGGGAATTTTGGAAATCTTACCATTCAGCCAGCAATAATCGAGTCTACAAGGGAGAAAAATGAAGTGTGTGTATCCCTAACCAGTGTGAAATCACGGCCTCTGGCACAGAGGTGCTGTTTCCTCCAGAGGACAGAGAACGTCCAGTTTATTACCTGTGTCCCAGGCATGTCCCACATGGAAGGGTGGCAGGGCCCAGATTTTGGGCAGGGTAATGAAGCGTGTCCCACCTGCTGACACTGGGTTCTTTCAGCTGGCAGAGGCAGCCAACGTGCCCCGCGTGAGGGTTGTTTGGATGTCCCATGAAATTGTGAAAGGGACTCCTGCTCCATGGAATGTGGCAGAAAAATCTGGATAAAGAAAATACGGAACAGATAAATAAGGAACCCTGTGAAATTCCTTGGCTGTCACAAACGGCCTCAAGCCCCACCCCTGCTGTGACAAGAGGCACTATTGATATTCTGTGGGAAGACTGATACGACCCTGAGAAAGCCCTGGCTATGCCCTGAGAAGTGACTTGGCTGATGAGATCTGAGAGAAGCCCGTCTTGTGCTGCAGCTGTGCGTCCCTCTCACTGCACACACACTGAAACCAAGATAAGAGCTGGAATCTGGGCATGTAGCACCCGCTGAAACTACCATTTCTCAGAAGCCTTTCAAAGACTCGATGCCTCGCCTGGAGCCAGACAGCAGAGGCTGTTATATCATGAGTAGATTGCCACTCTAAAGAATAGACAATTCAAAGGACAGTATTTCCCATGCTCCACCCTGGTCCTTCCTTAGGTCATGTTTATAGTAGGGTGTGGGGAAGAAGAACCTTTTCCCACACAGGGAGATTAAAGTGCTCTCTTTGAATCCAAGGGGAAGTGTCATGAAATTTGCTCAATGGGTGAACTGGGCTGTGCAAACCTTATTAGTTATTAGAGTTTCTTCATTGTTCTCACCATACACTCTCTGGAGTTGACATTAATCTCAATCCATCTCTCGTAGTTCCTGCACAGTGGGTGCCTCCTCATGAAAGATAACATTTGTTCTGGGAGAACAAATGAAGAAAGGAGCAAGAGGGAATGACTGAAATGGAAATAATGCTGGGTGAGAAGAATGGAGAAGTTAAGAAAAAAAGAGTTCCTGAACACTGCTGCCATCATGGCAACCTGAAAAGAGTGTCCCTGAGTTTGTTGCTCAAGAAAATAAAGCAATCAGGACTTGAAATTATCATATGGTGTGTATTCTATATTCCAAGTTGTCAAGAGACCTATGATGCACAAGTTAAGACCATTTTTATCCATCCACTTGTGTCCTGCATTAGTGGCAGCCACATCTCTAACCTTCTGTCACCCACAGTAGTCCTGGGGGGTTGTGCTGCAGCTTGCTGGGCTGAAGGGGTGGCTGTGGAAAGCTGGGCACAGACAGCTCTGTGCCTCTCACACACACCCTGTCCCTGGCACTGCCAAGAGCTGCGTTTATTCTCCTAACATTTCAGAGAAGCCTCAGAGCTGTCCTAATTACAGCAGCCTGACAACCAACCATGCTGGCTACTTCCACCACCATAGATAGCTTCAGTTCCTCATAGCTTGCTCCCCCCTTCCTTCAGCTGCCTGTTTTGCTAGAGATGTTGCAGTTACCCTGGGATGAGGCTGTTTCCAGGTTGTGCAAGTCTTCCAGGATGGCCAGGTACTTGGCTGTGGTGGGCACAGAAAGACAACTCATAGGGACTGTGCCAGTATTTTTCAGGCTCAACATCTGAAAATGCTGCTTAAAGAACAGCTAGTTTGGATCTTTCCTCTGTGTGTTCCCCTCAATACTACTGCTTCAGTCCAATGATCCCTCGTCTCAAATCTTTTCCCCCAACTCCATACTACCCTCTGCTCTTTCTCCTCCTTTTCATTTTGCAGCCAGCAGGCACCTGCATAGTTTTCACTTGACCAAATACTATGAAAATCTCAAGGAAAACAAGTATTTGTGCTTGCTCTGTTACTGCATAACTCATCTTTTTAATGGTCTGTAAAGAAAGATGTCCCTTGTAACTCACATGGCACTAAGGCTCAGTGAAGCACCCTGCTTCTTCACTTAATGTTAATATATGGCCTGCAAGGATAGGATGTGCAAGCACTTAATAATAGGCAAATTCTCAAGCCCCCTAAGAGATGGGAAGTAACCCCCAGGAAAATGTGTTATCTAGGATACTTTTACTGCCAGCCTTTAATGAAGTGTTGATGGACCTAGAAAGATGCCTTAGGTGAGCAGGGAAAATCTTCAGATAGCTACCAAAAAGGTAAATGTAACAAACAGAGCACACAGTGCTTGGTTGTGTCTTACTATTTCCACCATGTCCTGTGGTCTCACCGTGCCTGTTCCAAGGGCAGAGCATTTTGCACTCTACTTCCTTTTCCTGAAACACTAGATAGACAAAAGAATAGGTGAGAAGTCAGGGAGACCGAAGCCAAAGAAGACACCTGGCAGCAGCGCTGTGAAGATTAAGTATCTAAAACATTAGCCATGCCTAACTTCCTGCTGCTGCTTGCCAACTGTGTGACTGTTACAGCTGGATAAACAGTCCACAATCTCACACCTGCACACGTGCACCCAGCATCTGATGGCAGGACTGGTTGCAAATGCCAAATTCAGACTAGGAAGTTCCTCAATGCATTTTTGCTTATTTCCTGGACGAATAGTGCACAAAGAGTGCAAGCACCGTTTCTTACTGCTCATTAAGTTAGTATCTGTGTATCTATCCCTGGCCTGTTCTGAAATATGTTAAAGCAGCAGCAATACTGAAAGGAAATGCCTCCCCCAGTTGGAGCACAAGGCAAGAAATCACACTGGAGTCTAAGAAGCTGAGGTGCAGGGAAATAATTAAATACTTGAAATAATTAGGGAAATAATCAGCATACTCAACTGTGTTTTCATCAGCCAAGTCACTGTCTAGCTCTTTGCAGTTTCTGGCCAAAGTATGCTTGAAGGAAGGATTTGAAAGAGAAAAAATAATTTGCTCTGGGGATGGAAGAGGAGCCTCCCAAACACGAGAGAAACAGATGCAGCGGAAAGTGGTGCCTCTGAAAGTAGCAGTGCATGGGCAACAGGTGGTGGCACCAAGAACTTACTGGAGACGTATCATTGTTGTGCTAGTGAGAAGATGATGAAAGGTTGTGAGGACACACTGAAAACCCTGTCAGTGAAGTCAAGAATGCTGTATGGGATGTGCTAGCAAGTGGAGTTAGCAGAGATCATCTGCTGGGGATGTATTAGGCCTCAAGAAAGAACCCGTGATGCAGCCAGAGCAGGTAGGGGATCAGGATTTGAAAGCAATACCTTCGTTATGCACTTTGAGCAGCAAGTGTCTCATTGTTCCCATCTGTTCTTCCATTTGCTCGTCTTTAGTTGAGTAATTAGATTTTAGCTTTTGATCTGCTTCTTAGCTTCACAGCTAAAATTCTAGGCACTAATAAGGAATAATAAAAGGCGCTAATAAGGAATAATAAAAGGGTGTCAATAACTTTTTTTAAACTAAGCAGCTCTTTAGAAACAGAGGAGTTTCAGGTTTCTCTGCTAGCTATGTAAAATGTACTGTTGCTGCCCCCAGCAAACCAGTGCCAGACCACTATGCTAAACCACTGCTGCAGAGGAAACAGAGAACAGAGATGGAGCAAGGAAGGAGAGCCAGCCAGTGAGCCCCTGAGAACTGGCCTTCGCTGCTCCTTCTACTGCCAGCAGGAAGGGAGAGTCAGGGCAGTAACTTGCTACTCCTGGGACATGACAGGTCCTCCACCCCAGAGAGACCAGCCTCACTGTTGGTGGCAGCACACTATGTACCTTTCCAAGATGTTGCCATAGCCAAAGCAGACATGGGGGTCATGGCTCTTCATCCACCCTTGGCAGGTGGACACAGCAGCCTCCTTGCAGATAGCTGGTCCTTGTGCTTAGCGTGGCCTTGAAGCTCGAGAGGGTGGTTGATGTTTCCCATCACACAAGCTGCCAGAGTGCCAGACCCTGGTCTCTCTGTAGGCAAGAATTTAGGTGTAACACCTAAATTAGTCACCCATGGTAAGCGAGCTAAGTATAGCCTTCAGTAGGTCACCCATGCTTATGTTTTTTCTGTTGGGTGTATCCTTCCCTTCATTGTGCCAGTGGAAAGAACTTTCATGTCTTCTTTCTCTTTCTGCAGCAGAGCAAGGTCATAGCAATTTCCTGCCATGTAGAACCATGTAGCATTACACTTAAGAGGTCTGTATGGACACAAGCACATCAATTACTTTACTAAAATGAATTTAAAAAAAAAAAAAAAAAAAAAAAGGAGAAATAGTAGAGAAGACCCATGGAGCCTGAATGATCGATTTCCTCAGAAGTATGAGCCTGAGATAAATGACACTCTTCAGGGTTTAAAAGTGCTTTCTCTAAGGTTTGCAGGGGTTTAATCAAGCTATCCTCAGATTTGCTGTGAATACAGTATGAGAAGAATGTAGAAAGGAAAACAAAGATATATAAACATCAAAACTTATGGGAGGGATAGTGGGGGGTGGGAAAGGGAAGTGGCAGTTATGTGATATACAATGAGGGTTTAGAGTCTTGATTTGCAGTGACTGCATTTTATGCCTGTCACTGGCAAACTGACATTTTAAAGATATGTTCCTGACTGCATTTTTATGTCAGTATCTTTGTTCAGGCTATATCTGGGCTGATGAAAGGAATTTCAATTAAGGCTGAATCCTTTCCTTACTGTATTGAAATGCACAGGGTGGGAGCAGAGGGAAAATGGAGCCGTGAAAGCTCTATAGAGAGTTCTTAAGGCATCTTGCTGACACAGGACAAGATAGTTTAGGAATGCCTGGGGCAGTGCACTCTGTAGCATGGTTTGCTGTGCCTTTACAAAGAAGCAGTGTGCATTCACCTTAGTGCCTACTGCCTGAGGCCATAGATCATTCAAACAGGGGGCTAAGGATTTAATAAATCCCAATCTAGTTTAGTCCTCAAGGGAATAGCAGTCTTGAGTCATTCAGGAGTGGCAGGGAGGATGGCTGCATAACCTGGCAAGAAAAGGTTGATTTTCACCCTATAAATGTAAGCAGTGTCATGGGAAATGAAAGGGATTGTAAATCTACATAACTATATTGGGAAGAACTGGGATGAAACATAACAAAAGCCTTAGGGAAAAGAAGTGTGAAAAATAGTAAGACATGGATATAAAGACAGTGCTTAAGAGAGAGAGAGAGAAACAATTGAAAACCCATAGGGAGAAGGAAAGAAAAAGAAAATAATATTAATTGTAGCAAATCACATCAAAACCACTTTATCCACCTTGCAGTTACCATTTAGGGTGAAAGGCAAATTAGTTCCCACTGAGCACAGTCACATAGATGCATTTCTCTTTGCATTCATGTCCTTGTCCACCCTTGTCATCCTATCCCTTGGTGAGAATTTTTATTCAGCTGGTACATCCAGGATGCCCACAGGGAGCCCTGGCTTCCAGCTGGTTCCCAGCAGCTGTGATGACCTTCAGAAGGCAGCTGATTGGCACCCCCACCCCATCCTTGCATTCAGCCCGGGTGGCAAAAGCACACTGCAAAGACTCTTCAGAATGCCTCTATAAAGGCTATAACCAGTGCCCTCATTCAGCTCTGAAACAGGAGTTAGCACTGAGGCATTGCTACCTAACAAAACCTGGACAGAGCCTGAGCT